CATGTATTACATAGAAAATACAGCACAGCCATTGCTCTCCAGCCTGCATATACACAGCTCCCCAAAACACCATGTAATATGTCGATTCGGAAGCAATGAGCCTTGAGTGAGGGCAGAAAGCTCATTTCGACCAACTCCCACATGAACTGATAATGCTGATCTCAGATCACATTGACCCGTCTCAGAATTGGTAAGAGGTCAAGTCCAGTGGAGAACCTAGGTTCTGGGATTTAGAACAAAGACTGCCGCCTGTTCGCAATGCATTGTCCAGACTTCAAAAAGTGCTCTTTTTTCTATCCAGCCATGAGGGCTATAAAGAGCGATTCTCTAATCTAAGAGATTTCTGTTCAATTCCTGGGAGCAAATGACTGACCATTTGGTTCTCTTGCTAGATGAGGTGACTCTACAGGTTGACTGAGTACTTTAATTAATTTAATGATCATACACACAAAAATGGGCTCTGGTGGTTGAGTGCTGTCGGATCGGTTCCATCACAGGGTTTCCTAAGGCTATAGATACTTATGGGAACAGAAAGGTTCATCGTTCTCCTAAAGATTGGCCAGTGGACTCAAACTGCTGACCTTGCAGTTAGAAGCCTCATGGGTAACCCACTGTGCCAACAGATCTCCTTCACATACAAAAGCAGCACATTCATTTTCACAGATCTGTGGGAGACATCCAAAGCAATCCACCTCGTTTAACCTTTGGGGAGAACGAAAGAGCTTCTGGGACATCATCTAGAAAATTAGTGGATGCTGAGTGAAGGAGTTTGAGCCTGATTCAATGAGATTCCTGAGAAAGTAAATTTAAAAAAAAAAAAATAATATTTGGTTTACGAATCATGAGTGTTCCAGTTTCTTTTGAAAACTGGATCCTTTGCTAAATTCTGTTGTAATTACAAACAAATTACAAAATCCAGGCTAATGATGCCTGGATTACATGTACAATTTTTAGAAGCTAAGAGTGAGGGAAGAATAACATCAATGTATAAAAGATTAACAAAGTTCTATCAGTCTTCATTTAATCAGAACAAATTCAGAGTTTAAAGAGAGATGATTGCAAGCAGTTAACTTTTGCCATCGTCTTGTTTCTTTCTTGTTCCTTTGTGATCTTCCTTCTAACCCAACTGAGCAGCCACTCCAGAGGGCTGGCTATGTTTCTGACCTACTCCCTATGAATTAGAAACCAGGAAGTACCCCAAGATGGGACTCACCAGCTCTGAACTTTCTGTCTCATTCACTCGCTTCTGTCAAGTACGAATCTGGCCATGTTGGTACCAACCCAGTGTCCTCAGAAAGACCTCAGGTTTCAAAGCATAAAGGATGCCAATGATTGACTGTACCGCTGAGGCGTTCAGATGGGGGTTAGGAATGCCATGGCATCATGGCCTGAGAATACCACCACCAGTCTCACTGGGCATGTAGAGCTAGTTCTGTCTCCTCTGTCTAGTCATAGCAGGACTTCACAGAGATGACATCTGAAGACTCAAACCATCCCGAGGTCACCACCAATGACCACTTCAACAGCCAACATCCTTGTTTCTTACCTACTGTCCCTCATAGTTCACTTTTCACTGAAAATATGCTTATGTCTTCAAACAAAAAAACCTCAGAAAGCAAACAACTTCCAGGAAAATTTTATGCATCCACACTGAGGCAGCGCCAAACTGGGTTTATCTTTCCCATTGTCGGCAAAAAGTGCATGCCTCCTAGAGTCAGAAATGATGGGATGGCTCACAGGGGTCATCTTAGCTCTCCTCCCACACAATTGTCACTGTGTCTATCCCATTCCGAAGCTCAACTGGCTACATGGGTATACTCTCTTCCTAAGTATTTAAGAAAATAACATTCATTTTTAATGCATGATTTGAGGCGCACATAACATCAACAACCTTCACTCTTACCTCTCCTTCTGCAGTAGTGTTTGGAATTTGCTCCTGAAATCATGCATTTAAAAAGTTGTTTGTTTTCCTAAACAGTAGTAGAGAAGGAGAGGTAGGAATGAAGGTTGTTGCTGTTGTTGTTAAGTACACAACAAAATGAAACACCGCCCTGTCCTGTGCCATTTTCACAATATGCTTGAACCCATTGCTGCTGCCATGGTGCCAACCTGTCTCGTTGGGTATCTTCTTCTTTTTCACTGTCCCTCCACTATACCTAGCACGATGTCCTCCTTCTCCAGGGACTGGTCCCTCCTGATAATATATCCAAAACACAGATTGATTTGAAAGGCAAAATATCAAAATGAAATGCAAAACTAGAGTCATTCTTCTGACATCTATATTTAGAGGAGTGTCCTGGTGTGGCATTGTAGGATAAGTGCTCAAAGACAAGTCATTTTGAATCACAAAGCTGGCAGTTCGAACTCACCAACCACTCCTCAGAAGCCTTATACAAGGTTGCTATGGGTCGGAACCAATTCAATGGCACTTAACAACAACAATAGGGTTCCCAGGGGCAGATGGTGGGTTTGAACCACAGACCTTATGATTCAACTGATCTTGTGGTCCAGTGTTTATCTTACAGTGCTACAGCAGGGCTTAATTTTCATGTGCAGTGATACTCAAACATGATTGCTAGAGCAGTGGTATCAGTATTCCCTCAGGAAGTGCAATTTCTGAGGCTCTATCCCAGGCCACCATCACCCGTATGTGGTAGCCGGGGTGTTGCTGCAATGCTGGAAGCTATGCTACCAGATAGTCCCCCACTCATGGTAGACAAACCAATGGAGCTTCCTGACTAAGACAGACCAGGAAGAAATGCCTAGTGATCTACTTCTGAAAATTCACCACTAAAAACCTTATGGATCACAGCAGAATATGGTTTGACATATTAGCTACTAGGTGTGTTATCAGATGGATTCAATAGTTAGAGGAGGGTATCTTGTCTGGTGAAGTAGGAGTCCAACAAGGGCACGGGAGACCCTTGGTGAGATGGACTGCCATAGTAGCTACAGAGATGGACTCCAACGTGCTAGGGAGTCTGAAAATGATGCAGGGTCAAGCTAGAGAGTTGGAGATGATGCAGGCTCAGGCTAGAGAGTAGAGTCTGAAAATGATGCGGAGTCAGGATAGAGAGTCTAAGAAGGTTCAGACTCAGGCTACAGATCTGAAAATGATGCAGGATTAAGCTAGAGAGTCTACAGAAGATGCAGGATCAGACTAGAGAGTCTGAAGGTGATGAAGAATCAGGCTACATTCTGTTCTGTTGGACATGGGTCACCGGGAGTCAGTGTTGGCTTGACAGCAGTTATCTACTTATCTATTCAAAACCCAAATCACTGTCAGTGATTTGATTCCAACTCGTAACAACTGCAAATCTGCATGGTAGTAGACAATCTCACTTTTCTCTGGTGGGGAGCTGGTGGGTTTGAACTACTAACTTTACTTCATCCAATACCTAGCCCACAGTGCCATCAGGACCCCAATTTACCAATTTGTCATTGTCGTTTTAGATCCGCATGTTGTTATTGTTTTTAAGTGCCACCAAGAGGGTTCTGACTCCTAGCGACCTTGCATAGGGTTTCTGAGGAGTGGCTAGTGAGTTTGCCCTTATTCTTTTCTGGTGCCATTGAGTAGATGCTCAGAGCCAGTCTATCTTGTTCTTCGACGGACAGAAGTTCAAAGATCCACGTTTGCTGCATGGTTCTTAGCTTCCAAGGATCCTGCCTCTGAGTTGTGGTCTTATTTTTATCCCAATGCAAGAATACAACATTGTCCCTGGGTGCTGAGGATTCACAAAGTATACCCACCCTCTCCTCCACAAGTCCCCAGGACCACCGGCGTTCATGGTTGTGGTCTTTCTTCATGTCTGGTCCCTGGAAATGTTCCTTTTTTTTTTTTTTTTTTCAAATTTAAATTTTGTAAGTTCATTTTAGACTTCCATCTCACTGGTTCCAGAACTCTCAGAACTTTGCTAGCCCAGGACCGTCTGCCACTTGACTCCTTCTATGTGAGAGGAAGAGATTTGATTGTTTAAATGCTACTGTTGCCGTTTTGTGTGTTCTGTTGTACCCAGCAAACACGACCCCAATCATAGTACCACTGGCTATTTGGACTGGAAAACTGGAGACAAAGGGAGAGAATAAACTCTGAAGACTCTCTTTCCACCTTCAAAGGATACTATTGATGTCATCATACACCACTTTAGAAGATGAGGGTCATTAAGATGACCACAAATGTGACCTTTTCAATTTCAGAAATCCCTTGCCTTATCAGAAACATAACCAATGAGAAAGGAGCCCTTGGCAGCATAGTGGATTATGAGCTGGGCTGCCAATTCCAAGGTCAGCAGTTTGAATCTACCAGTATGTCCAAGGGAGAAAGATGAGGCTTTCTGGCCCTATAAAGACTTACAGTCTGGGATATGCTATACAGTGTCACTCTGAGTCAGAACTGGCTCCACAGAACACAATCCCCACCACCAATAATCAATGAAAAAACACTTTAAAAGATAAGAAGCAGAAGAAGATAAAGGCAAAATGAGAGCGGTACACATATTTCCCTCCTTTATGTATGTCGACCCTCACACATTTCATCAAATATTCCCACTAGCTCCTCAGAAAAAGGAACACTCTTACTGTGGTCCTGACACCTGTGTTTCAGACCCTCGTCTCAGAGCACTTATGAAACGCATTCACCTTGTGTGTTATGTCTGAGTACGTTTCTTCTAACAATGTCCTCTTGTGATTTAAGAGGCTCAAATCCCAAATGTACCACAGACTAAATGTGACATCACCCACAACTGGACCAGCTGTGCTCCGTTCACCTCTGACACTTGGCGACACCCTGTGTGTCACAGCACAGCCGGTGCTCCGTAGGGTTTTTAACGGTTGATTTTCAGACAGAGATGATCAGGTCTTTCTTTCAAGGTACCTCTGGGTGAACTCAAACCTCTCAGCTTTCAGCTGAAAGTTTAATGGTTGGTACTTCCTGGGGGCTCCAAATATGAGCCCCCCACCAACAAAAGAAACACTTCAATAGCTGTAGATAAAGCAGTTACCTGAACTCCCAACTGGTGGTGGGCCAGTCTTCCTTTCCGGACTCAGGATAACGGCCAGGCCCACAGAGTCTGCTGGTAGGATGGAGCTGCCGAGGTCCACACGGGTCAAGCTGGCATGCTCTCGCTCCAAGCCTCCCGCGGCAGTCCTGGAGTGGGCCCCCGGGGCCTGGCTCTGGGGTCTCTGCACAACATGAACAATGCTCTGTTGATCCAGGTCACAGTGCTGTAGGGGAGAGCAAACACACACGGGAAGAGTTAAACTCCAGACAGACAGCGTGGGGCTTCTCAGTTCTAGAGTGGAGATGGTACGCAATGTTCTGGGTGCAGTTTCAATGGGCAGTGATGGGACATACAGCAGCCTGTGGAAATTGTCCTGATGGTACAGCCAGAGACCCAACATGGCACTTACACACGTAACACTGAATGGGGGCCAGAAACTGAAATGGCGCGAGTGGAATACATCAACAGAAAACTAAAGTAGTATTTAGACAGACGTGAGTTCTACTCCAAACCTACTGCCATCGAGTCGATTCCAACTTACATGCTCCGTGGCCTTTTTGAGACTGGAAATCTTAGCAGGAGTAGACTGCCTCATCTTTTTCCCACAAAGCGTCTGGTGGATTAGAACTACTAACCTTTCAGTTAGCAGTCCAATGTTTAACATGCTGTCTCATCTACTCCTTACAGGCACTCTTCTTGGTGTTGTTGTTGTTATGTGCTGTGGAGTCGGTTCCAACTTATAGAGACCCCGTACAGGGGTTCCGAGGCTGTAAATCTTTACGGGAGCAGAAAGCCTCATCTTTCTCCCACGGAACATCTGGTAGTTTCCAACTGCTGACCTTGCGGTTTGCAGCCCGATTCGTAACCACTATGCTACCAGAGCTCCTCTACAGGCCCTCTAGTAAGAGATTAAAAAGTGGAACACAATAGGCATGAACACTGTTAAAAATAACACACTTTTCTCCAAGGGTTGAAATGGACTGCAGGGCATTTCTCAACAACAACAACAACAACACCAGAGTCAAGGTATGGCACTGTAGGATATGCACTGGACTGCAACGTTGGTTTGAACCACAAGGCCAGTGGTTCAAACCCACCAGTCGGCTCCTCAGAAACCATATGCAGGATTGCTACAAGTTGGAACCAACTCATCGTCACTTAACAACAACAACACTGCATTGATTCCGAGGTGACATGCCCTGGAAGTGATCACATGTGCATAGTGACTTTCATCTGCAGTTCATCAAAGCATGGGATTCCAGTTATTAACCAATCCAGGGCATTTCTCTACGGAGTTACTAGTAAGCATCCTATTCAGACAGCCCTCTGCGCATGGGGAAAGCATGTGGATGGTACAATAATCCCAGGGTTCATTTTCTTTGTCATCCAATTACAGAGTTAAAACCAGCCTATATTGACCAGAATGTTTTGCATTCATATCTTGACAGGTATGTGTGAACAGGAGGCTCCTTAATATTTAAAGTGAAAGTCAACATGAGATTAATTGGAAGGGCAAAAGTTGGGCTACTGTGAATCTTGTCTATGTTTCAGAAGAATCTGTGAGGTATAAACATTCCTCATCTGTGTGCTGCCAACTTCTGACCCGCAAAGAAGTTGTTCTCTCAATAAACCCCATAGGTTTCTATGCTTCAAATGACCTTCATCCACTCTTACCCATCTCAGAAGGTTCCCACAACACCCACTCTAGAAATAGTGGTACTGATGAATATGCACTCTTTATTCCACGTCCATTCCCGTCACTGGCAAACTCCCTGGCCACCCACTTGTCTACCACACAACATTGGTCCCAGTAAGGTCACCAGGACACCCTCAACTTGAAAGCCCGTAAGCACTCCTCCCAGTCTTCACATTTCTGGACTTCGATCACAGGTGTGCTCCGTCCGCTCTGGGTCTTGCATCCCAAAGCTTTGCGCAGGACTGCTCCTATTCCCCACTTTTCACTGGCTCACCATTTCCTGTCCCTTAGTTCTCTTTGGATGGTGCAAACTGGTAAGGTTGAGTTCAATCCCCCCCCCAAAAAAACTACTTCAGAAGAAACATCTGGCAATGTTTCCAAAGGTCATGAGAGCCCTGTGGAGCACAGCTGAACTCTGCCAGACACAGGCTTGCTCTGAGTCACAGTTGACTCATGGACAACGTTTTATTCTTATTACTACTGTGTTTTCGTTCTCTTCTGGCTGCCCTCCACATTTCTGCCAGTGTCCCACCATCCACCACAGCATCCTGGCTTCAAGCTCTCCCCTCCCTGCTGAAAATGTGAGTTTCCTCCTATGTTATTTAACTGAATCACATGGACTCCTCACCCTACGGTGTCAGACCCAGTAACACGCCAGCACCATCTCAGACACACCTTTCATATCCTAGTCCACTGCATGCTGCAACTACGACCCGCTCCTTCTATGCCTTCATTATTGCAATACATTTGCTATTACTACCTATACTTCTGTCTCTTTCTACTCTAACCAAGATATGTTAGTGCTTGCTGCAAATGGAAAGTGGATCCCTGTGAGCTGTTAGATAGAATCCAACATCTTTATATCTTAATTCACCTGTGTTTATACTCTTACTATTCCTTCGTCAACTGCCATATGATTTTTAAAAATCTTTTCTAACTATCTTTACAGCTCACATGGCATATTAAAATTAAAACTAACAACAACAACAACAACAAAAACCTAAATCCATTGCCTTCTAGTAAATTCGGACTCACAATGATCTTGTAGGTCACAGTAGAATTGCTCCATAGGGTTTGCAAGACTATAAATATATTTTTTTTAAGTTTTTATTGTGAATTGAGTGATAGTTTACATGGGAGAACATCAGCTCTACACTCATCATATTGTAATTTGTTTCATTGCAATGACTACAATCCCCTCCATGCATCATCATTCAGCAGCATTTGCTTCCATTGCCTCTGTTTTTGTTTTTGATTTTTTTGGATGTACACTGAAGCACTCAGGAACATATAACCATTCAAACAACCAAAGGGCACACCTGCACACCTGCCCTCCGGCCATCAGCACACAGCCCCTCTCCCTCCTTGAGTCTAGACCATTCCATCTCTCCGTGTCATCATCTCTGCCTCCATCTCTGACATCGCTGCTTTTCTGGATAGGGTCCCGCACTCGCTCTTCTCCCTTGATGGTCCCAGCATCCTCTGCTCCTGGACTGCAAGATCAACCACTCCCCTCCTTTTGTTACAAAATGGCAAGACTATACATTCTTACAGGAGCAGACTGCCTCATATTTCTCCCCGGTGGGTTTGAACTGCTGCCTTTTAGTTAGGAGCCAAGCACTTAACCACCAAGCCACCACGTTTATTTCTCCCACATGGGTGTTGGGTTTGGCCCTGAGAATGGATGTTCCCACTGGCACAGCCATCAAGAGCTTCCTAGGAAGCAAGCTCCTAAACCTGAAGACTGTCTAACTGGAGCTCACGTGAGTCAGACCCACTTCAAGGACCAAGTCCAGTCTCACCCATGGCTGGAAGCAGTGCCTTCCAGGACTCCCAGATGGGCCAGCAGATGCTCAACTGACCTGAATACTGTGAGAATAGGATCCACTGAGTATCGTACTGGGGGTTTGTGGATGTTTATTAAGCAGTGATAATTGACGGGACTCTATTTTCCATTCTGATTGAACTAATAAACATTTGACCACTATATTCACTGCAGCATTCAGTCATCACCCTGCATCAGAGTATGGACATTTAGCAAGCATTCTAGGAATGCAACCTGTCTGTAGACTTTTACTTCAGCCATTGAAAATAGACAGTCATGGAATCTGATTGCATGCAAAGGTGGGCTCATACATGAAGACGGGAGCTTCACAACAGGGCTGTTTGAGTTGAGAATTAGCATCTGACATACCCTGAGGTTTCTGTCTACAAAACTTCTTTTCAAGGAGGTTCAAGAACACAGTCAGATCACCTCTTCCCCTCATATTCAGAACGTATCTATTTCATGGGATCCTCACAGATAAAATGTTATACTCTCACATTGGAAGTTTAATGGCCTTTGCCTGTCATGTTCTTCTTATGGGATTGCTAAGAGCTTGGACTGTCTGGATGAATGTCCAATCTCTCAACTTGGTTGAGGGAGTCTTAAGATGAGTGAGTAGGTCATGCTTATCTTCACCTTTACCAGAATGCCTCACATTGTGCATTGAACCTAGTAGATACATAAAATATACCTATGAATTTTTTAAAAATCCTTGACAAATTTTATTTTTTCCTACCCAAATTGAAATTAGTAATAATTTTCTTCTCGGATCAGCAATAAACATCCATGGAAGCAGCAGTCAATAAACTCAATGGTATACTGTACTGAGCAGATCAGTTGTGAAAGACCTCTTCAAGGTTCTAAAACACAATCATGTGACTTTGATGACTCAGGTCGGTCTGAAGTGAGTCATGGTCTTTCATACCACCTTCTATGCATGTGAAGGCTGGACAGTGAAATGAAAAGACAGAAGACGAATTGATGAATTTGATAGTGGTGTTGATGGAGGATGCTGAGTATACTGTGGACTTCCAGAAGAACAAATATAAATCCATCCCAGAAGGAGTACAGCCAGAATGCTTCTCAGAACTAAGGATGGAGAGACTTCACCTGACTTGCTTCGTAAAAGTCATCAGGAAAGAAGAATCGTATTTGGTAAGGTAGTTATTGTGTTTGCTAAGGGCTGTCGAGTTGATTCCAATTCAGAGCTACCATGTATAGGATTTCTGAGGCTGTCTGAGGGAGCAAGATACCTCATCTTTCTCCTACAAAGTGCCTAGTGGGCTTGAAATGCCAACCTGGTGGTTCACAGTAAATTAGAACTTCAGAAAAAATAAGGGGGCCTTTCAAAGAGACAGAGAGACACAATGGCCCCAACAAAGGACTCAGCGTATCAGCTGTCATGAGACTAGCACGGGGTCAGACAACATCTCCTGTTATATACATGGTTGCCATGAGACAGAGCTGACACAAAGGCAACTGACAACAACAGTGAATTGAAACCCTGAGTTATTGTGGGGAAGAAAGAATGAAAGGAAGAAGGGACAAACATGGACACCTAAAGGAGTCTATGGGGAACTAGCAAAAGTATGAGTATGAATGAACTCTAAAGTCAAATAAATTCAGCCCTTAGTAATTTTTTATCTGTATGATATTTGACAAACTGCTTTTCCTGTCTAAACTTCAGTTTCTTCACTTGTCA